CTTGCTCAAGCAGGAGACCCTCTACCATTTCAGACAAATGGCTATCCAGTTTCTTCTTAAAAAGGAGGAGGAGGAGGAGGATAATAATAGAGCTGGAAGGGGATCTTGGAGGTCATCTAGTCCAACCCCCTGCTCAAGCAGGAGACCCTATACCATTTCAGACAAATGGCTATCCAGTTTCTTCTTAAAAAGGAGGAGGAGGAGGATAATAATAGAGCTGGAAGGGGACCTTGGAGGTCATCTAGTCCAACCCCCTGCTCAAGCAGGAGACCCTATGCCATTTCAGACAAATGGCTATCCAGTTTCTTCTTAAAAAGGAAGAGGAAGAGGAGGAGGAGGAGGATAATAATAGAGCTGGAAGGGGACCTTGGAGGTCATCTAGTCCAACCCCCTGCTCAAGCAGGAGACCCTCTACCATTTCAGACAAATGGCTATCCAGTTTCTTCTTAAAAAGGAGGAGGAAGAGGAAGAGGAGGAGGAGGAGGAGGATAATAATAGAGCTGGAAGGGGACCTTGGAGGTCATCTAGTCCAACCCCCTGCTCAAGCAGGAGACCCTCTACCATTTCAGACAAATGGCTATCCAGTTTCTTCTTAAAAAGGAGGAGGAAGAGGAAGAGGAGGAGGAGGAGGAGGAGGAGGATAATAATAGAGCTGGAAGGGGACCTTGGAGGTCATCTAGTCCAACCCCCTGCTCAAGCAGGAGACCCTATACCATTTCAGACAAATGGCTATCCAGTTTCTTCTTAAAAAGGAGGAGGAAGAGGAGGAGGAGGAGGATAATAATAGAGCTGGAAGGGGACCTTGGAGGTCATCTAGTCCAACCCCCTGCTCAAGCAAATGGTTTTTTTAAAAAAAAACAACAGGCAGAATTGTACAAGGTTGCGTGTGTGCAAAGGAACGTAGTTTACTTTTGTCAGGGGAAGGATCAGATTGTCCTTAGGAAAGAGTACAAGACTTTCTTTGCTTTGGAATTAACTTATTTATTTTGGCTCGGCGGAGTCAAACACGGAAGGAGACGGACGAACTGAAGGCTTTTTTTTAAAATCCGTGCAATTTTCCCAGCCACAAAATTTCTTCCTTTTATTTTCATTTTACTTTGCTTTACTTTTCGGGCAGTCCTCGCCTCGCGACCGCAACAACGCAGCGCCCAGATTTCCGTTGCTAAGCGAGACATTTGCTCAGTTGAGTTTGTGCCCCGTTTTTATGACCCTTTCTGGCCACCGTTGTTAATTGAGTCAGCCGGCTGTTAAGTGAATCCGGCTTTCCCTTGGACGGTCACAAAAAAGGGGATCGCCTGACACGCGGTCGTCGTAAACGCGAGTCGGTCGCCGGGCATCTGAATTTTTTGGATGTTGTAACGGTCGTTAAGTGTGAAAAACAGGCATTTAAAGTCTCTCTTTTTTCCCCCGGTGCCGTTGTAACTTTGGAGTGGTGGCCAAATGAACGGTTGTAAGGCGAGGACCGCCTGAACTTTTCACTCTAATGTTTACTTTGGAGTTTACTTTTTGCCGTTTACTTTTGAGTTTGCTTCGGTTTACTTTGCTTTTTCAGTTTCCAGAACCGCCCAACTCAAGCCGCTGACTCAGCCCCGTCCGTCCGTTGGCCTTTCTCTACGGGATGTTTTTCCTACTTCCTGGTGTAACTTGATGCGGTTTTAATTGGTGGTAGTTTGGCCAATAAACCGATTTATGCCAGAGTTTTGGCAGACGGCTGGGTCCCTAGTTTTTTCAGCTGGCCTTGGGACCCTCTCGGTGATGGCCCCTCGAAGCATTTAAAAATATCTAAGCTGATCCTGTAAAAATTGCCAGAAGAGCCAGGAAAGGATCAAAGAAGTCAACGAAAAGCATCAGGGAGGGAGGGAGGGAGGAAGAAAGAAAAAGTAGGAAAAGAAATATAAAGAAAGATAGAGGAAGGAAGGGAAAAAAGATAGAGAAAGAAAGAAGGAAAGAAAAAGGAAGGAAAAGAGAAAGGAAGAAAGAAAAGAAAGAGAAAGAAAAAGAGGAAAAGAAATATAAAGGAAAAAAAGAAAGAAAGAAAAAGGAAAGAAAGAAATGAAGGAAAGAAAAGAAAGAAAAAGGAAAAAAGATAGAAGAGAAAAGAAAGAGAGAAAGAAATAAAGGAAAGAAAGAAGAGAAAAAGAAAGAAAAGAAAGAAAGAGAAAGAAAGAAAAATAAAAAGGAAAGAAAGAAGAAAGAGAGAAAGGAAGGAAAGAAAGAAAGAAGAGAAAAAGTAGGAAAAAATATAAAGAGAGAAGGAAAAAAAGAAAGAAAAAAAGAGAAGAGGAAAGAGAGAGAGAGAGAGAAAGAAATGAAGGAAAGAGAAGAAAAAGGAAAAAAGATAGAAGAGGAAAGAAAGAGAAAGAAATGAAGGAAAGAAAGAGGAAAAGATGGAAAAGAAATAGAAAGAAAGAAAGAAAGAAAGAAACGAAGAAAAAGAAAGAAAAAGGGAAGAAAGAAGAAAGAGAGAAAAAGAAATGAAGGAAGGAAAGAAAGGGAAGAAGAAAGGAAAAAGTAGGAAAAGAATTATAAAGAAAGAAGGAAAAAGAGAAAGAAAGAAAGAAAAAAGAGAAAAGAAAGATAGAAGAGGAAAGAAAGAGAAAGAATTGAAGGAAAGAAAAGAAAAAAGAGAAGAAGAAAGAGAGAGAGAAAGAAGAGAAGGAAAGAAAGAAATATAAAGAAAGGAAAAGAAGGAAAAGAAAGAGAAAGAAAGAGAAAGAAATGAAGAAAAAGGAAGGAAGGAAGGAAGGAAGGAAGGAAGGAAGGAAGGAAGGAAGGAAGGAAGGAAGGAAGGAAAGAAAGAGTGGGAGGCTGGAAGTTGGCAAGGCAAGCCCAGGACGTGTGTGGGGGGGTCCCTGGGGACATCCCTGAGCCCCAACCTGGGGGGCTTCCTTTGGGAGACCCCCCTGCCCTTTCGGAGGGGACGGAGGGGACGGAGGGGGCCACGTGAGGGCCAGGCGGGTGGCGGGCAACCCTGGGTGCCGAGTGACGCAGCCTCGGGTGACGACAGCCCTGGCGGGTGGGCCAGCCTTTCTGGTGCTCCCAGGGCTGAGTCACGGCGGCCCCACCCTCTCTGAAGGCACCGGGCCTGCTTTGCAAATCCTCTTTTTATTTTTTATTTTGAGTAGCCAAAGTTTTCTCCTCTTTTTTCCTTTTTTTTTCTTTCCCCCGTCTTCACTTATCGATTAGGCTTTTATATCCTCCTTCGCGCGCTCAGGGTATTTGCGCGAAGTTCTCCCCCCCTCCGGGAAAAAACAACCCTGGCAGGTAGGACAGCTAATTAAAATTACACGGGACGCACCGAGAACGCTGGGCAGCTGCGGTAATCCCCCACAAGGGGAGGGCGCTTAATTTTACCTCCCCTCCCCTCCAGGAGCTCAATGCGGCCGACCCAGGGCTGCTTCCTCCCTTCCCCCCCCCCAACAACAATCCTGCAAGGTAGACTGGGCTGGGCAAGGAATAGGCCCAAAGTCCCCTGGAGAGGCCTGGTGGCTGAGGGGGGGATTCTTGAACCCAAGTCCAGCCCCATAACCACTACACCAATTGGCTCTTTTTTTCTCCTTCCTTCCTTCCTTCCTTCCTTCCTTCCTTCCCCATTCTTTCCCTCCCTCTCCTTTCCTTCCTCCCTTCCTTCCTCCTTTCCTCACTCCCTTCTATTTTTCCTCCATTCTTTCTTTCCTTCCTTCCTCCCTCCCTCTCTCCCTCTCCTTCCCTCCCATTCCCATCTTCCCCAATCCTACATCTCTTTTCCTTGCTTTATTGCTTCCTCCCTCCCTCCTCTCTTATTTCCTTCCTTCCTTCCTCCCTTCTTTCCTTCCTTCCCCTCCTTCTTCCCCTTCTTCCTTCCTTTCCTCATTCTTCTTCTTTCCTTCCTCCCTCTTTTCTTTCCTTCCTCTCTTCTTTCCTTCTTCTTTTCCCTCCTCCCTCCCTCCCTTCTATTCTTCCTTTTTTCCTCCCTCCCTCCCTCCCTCTCCTTTCCTTCTTTCCCTTCTTCCTCCCTCCCTTCCTAGCCTCCCTCCCATTCCCATCTCCTCCATTCCTTCCTCCATCTCTTTTCCTTGCTTTCTTGCTTCCTCCCTCCCTCCTCTCCCTTCCTTCCTTCCTTCCTTCCTTCCTTCCTTCCTTCCTTCCTTCCTTCCATCCATCCATCCAAAGAGGGGGGGAAACCTTTTCTACTTATTTATTTGGATTGATTCGCTGCCTGCCCGACTCTCAGCGTGGGCAATGCCCCCCACCCCCCGTGGCCGTTGCCCCTTGACACACACACACACACACACCGGCTTCCTTCCCTAAAATGGCGCCTTTCCCAGGCCCGTTTTTTACGTCCCAGCCTGGGTGCCTGGAAGCCTAATGTTTGCCCAGAAAGCCTGCCAAGTGTGGGCCCCCCACCCAAGCAAACAAGCTGCCTTCCTCGACTTTGCTGTGCTGAGGGAGGGGGTGGGGTGGGGGGTCCCCCCAAACCTCCGCCCTCCGATCTGTGCCCCGCGGAGGGGGCCCTGGGCTCCGACGGGCGGCTGTGCGGGCATTGTGATCCCGTCTCTCTGGGGAGAAGAGTTGAGTGCAGAAGGGGAGGGGGGACTGGCGGCCGTTATTGGGGTGCTGGGGAAAATTATTGGATGTCGGGGTGGATTCTGGAGGGCCAGGGATGGGCATTGGGGCGCTGGGGTGGATACTGGAGTACTGGGGTAGGTACTGGATGCAAGGAGCGGTGCTGGGGTGTGTATTGGGGCGCAGGGGTGGATGTTGGGGTACAGGAGTTCTCCATCGGCCTGGCAAGACTTGTGGGGGGCACGTCCAGCTTACAAAAAGGGGGGTGCTTGGGTATCCCAGAAAGCAGTGCCAGCGTACCCCCGTTCGGGCAGTCAACCCTCCCAACTGCATCATCCTCGACCCTTTAAATTAATCAGAATAGAGCTGGGAGGGACCTTGAAGGTCATCTAGACCAGCCCCTCCCCAAATCTGGCTGCTGTGCCTCTCTGACCTCCTGCCTCTCCTCCCTGCAGTTTACTTACAAGCCACCCGGGCGCTGATGGTCATCTCCATCGTCCTGGGCGTGATCGGCATCGGCATCGCCACCATGGGCATGAAATGCACCCACTGCGGGGACGACAACAAGACCACCAAGGCCCGCATCGCCATGACCAGCGGCATCGTCTTCCTGGTGGCCGGTGAGTTCCCCCCCTCCCTCCTTCCCTCCCTGCTTCCCAACCTTTTGGAATGGAATTAGGAATTAGGAATAGGATAAGATGCAGAATAGAATAGAATGGAATAGAATGGAATAGAATGGAATAAGGAATAGAATAAAACAGAACAGAACAGAATAAGGAATGGAATGGAATAGAATAGAATAGAAAATATAGAATAGAATAGAATAAATAGAATAGAATAGAAAATATAGAATAAATAGAATAGAATGGAATAGAATAGAATAGAATGGAATAAGGAATAGAATAAAACAGAACAGAACAGAATAAGGAATGGAATGGAATAGAATAGAAAATATAGAATAGAATAGAATAAATAGAATAGAATAGAATAAATAGAATAGAATAGAAAATATAGAATAGAATAGAATAAATAGAATAGAATAGAATATATAGAATAGAATAAATAGAATAGAATGGAATAGAATAGAATAGAATAGAATAGAATAAGGAATAGAATAAAACAGAACAGAAAAAGGTATGAAATAGAATAGAATAGAATAAATAGAATGGAATGGAACGGAACAGAATGGAATAGAATAGAATGGAATAGAATGGAATAGAAAATATAGAATAGAATAAATAGAATAGAATAGAATAAATAGAATAGAATAGAACGGAACAGAACAGAATGGAATAAATAGAATAGAATAGAATAGAATAGAATAGAATAAATAGAATAGAATAGAACGGAACAGAACAGAATGGAATAAATAGAATAGAATAGAATAGAATAGAATAGAATAGAATAAATAGAATAGAATAGAAAATATAGAATAGAATAAATAGAATAGAATAGAATGGAACGGAACAGAATGGAATAGAATAGAATAGAATAGAATGGAATAGAAAATATAGAATAGAATAAATAGAATAGAATAGAAAATATAGAATGAATAAATAGAATGGATTAGAATGGAACGGAATGGAATGGAATAGAATGGAATGGAAAATATAGACTAGAATAAATAGAATAGAATGGAACGGAACAGAATGGAATAGAATAGAATAGAATAGAAAATATAGAATAGAATAAATGGAATGGAATAGAATGGAATGGAATAGAATGGAATGGAAAATATAGAATAGAATAAATAGAATGGAATGGAATGGAATAGAATATTTGCCATGCTTCCTAGGCTTACATCCCCTTTGGGAAGAAAAAAAACATCAAACCAAGATAACCGTTTTGTGACACTCTCCTTGTTTTCCCTATCTAGGTTTGTGTTCCCTGATCGCCTGTTCCTGGAGTGCAAACCAGATTGTCCAAGATTTTTACAACCCCTTGTCTCCCATAAACAAAAAGTACGTTGTCCAGAGCAAACGGGGTGGCTGGGTCTGTCTTTGGCACCCCCAAAGGTGGCGCACCTCGCTTGCCAAAAAAACGTCCAGACACAAACTCAGATTCGCTTCTTCCCCTGGCCCTGGCCCTGCCCCTTTTCCCCTGGCCCCGCCCCTTTGGAGCGTGTCCCTTTTGAGGAGGGGGGCCCCCCACCGCCTCTGCACCCCACCCCTGGCATTTTCCCGCTCCCCCGTGGCTGCTTCCGAGGCGGGAAGAAAACCTGGGGGGGGGAAAGAAAGTCGGAGCAAGGTGATATCCGGAGAGCATCCAGTAACCGCACCGGGGAGAAGAATCCTTTACATCTAGAATTCACGCGCCCGGCAAATCCTTTTCCCCCCATCCGCAGAGGCAGGGAAGTGGGGAGGGGGTCTAGGGGTAGGGGGGACCTCCCTAAACACCCTCCCCCCCCGTTTTCTACCATCTCACCGTGAGTCTCTTTCTGTGCTCCAGGTACGAAATTGGCCCTGCCATCTTCCTCGGCTGGGCGGGGGCCGCCTTGTCGCTGATTGGGGGCGGATTGCTCTCCTGCTCGTGTCCAGGGGCCGAGCCCGGGTACAAGAACCGCCAGTATCCGGCGCCGATGCCCATCTCCAAACCCCCCAGTAGCCGAGAATACGTCTAAGATGCCCGGCCAGCTGACTGCAAGACCCATGTGCCACTGAGCCTGGAACAGCCCGGATTTTGCCGCCCAAGCTGGGCATCATTGACTTTTAAACCCCCTCGGAGGGAGGGGGGGTGTGTGCTCTCGTTTTACCCCGTTTTATTATTCCTCCTCTGCTCTTTGATTGTGTTTTTATTTTTATTTTATTTTTAAATAGCCATCCTTAACTTTAATTAGAGATATTTTAATATTTTAAGGGGCCGTCGGCCCCGAAGGGGGGGGGGAAACGGACCTTGTTATTATTCCGTGGGCTGCCCCCACGGAAGGATCAGAGAGAGGGCGGGCTCCACTAATCCTTTGACCCTCCCGGCGGGGGATTATGGGGTTTAGAGTCTGGAAGTAACGAGATCGAAGAAGCTCTAGTAAGGTTTTAATTTTGTTCTGGGGAGAACCCACCTCTCCCCCTTAATAAACTGACCCAATTGGACAAGACCCCCCCCCGCCCTCTGGGTGCCCTGGATTGATCCTAAAGAAAGCCCCCAACTATCTGGGGTTTTCCTCCCCCCCCCAAATAACCCGAGGAATTGGCATTTGGGATCTCTGCTGTCTGGCAGAAAGTTTACAAGACTGGGCGTTTTTTGGGGGGGCAGGGAACTTTGACCCCCCCATCTCACCCAGGAAAAGGGGTGTCCTTTCTCCGTGGGGCAGCCCAGCTGAAAACCCCTAGAATAATTCTTGACAGGCTGCTTGCAGACTTCAGAAATTGTTTGGCTTGTGTAAATATATGTACAATGCGCTGGGGAAGCCTTGGGTTAAGCGAGGGTCCGTTGATTCAAGGCTATCCCTTCAAAATACGGATCAGTTTGACCCCGTCCTTTAATTCCTCCCAGTAAAATGTTCCTGGCTTTTCTTGCAAAATCATATTTCGGGGGGGGGGGATTACCTT